TCAAGTTAGTTCTCACTCAGGTCCCCAAAATATGACATAAAGACAACCACCAAGTTTAGGGACAAACTTATACTCCAAGGACTTTCATCTCATATTCGGCAAGCACGTTCGGATACAAAGCAAAAATCGTATGATAAACATGAGTTTGAATCTTACGAGAGGTTGGGATTTATTTTAAAAAATCAACATATTTCTCGCATTCCAAATAAAGTACACAGTAGCCGCGAGCGCCGCTTTCTTCAACTTGGTTTGCCAACTAGTCACTCATGCCTCCTTCTTGGTCTATTTAAGAGCTCCTATGAGTGTCAAAGACCTATGACGGAGGCTAACCCAATCACGAATCACCCCAGCCATGGGGTGTCAGTTTAACATAAGAGCTCCTTCTCCCTAGAAAGACTCCCAAACAAAGGAGACAAAATACTCCATAAGGGAGACTAAAATATTCTACAAAGGGAGACAGACAACTAAACAAAGTAAAACAAATAGGAAATAATTATTTACACCCAGTTCTGAAAAATGAATAAATTTCTCACACCACTGGATAAAAAGTTAACTTTGTCATCCAAGAAAGTGTGAAAGCATTATGCAACTTTTTCACCCAAGAAAGTGTGAAGCATTATGCGGTAATTATGATTGACATTGTCCGAAAGTTAGAAATGTGAAGGCATTCGCATAATCTTTCGCACTTTATAATGTGGATATTCGAATGATATGTGTAGTTATGCGACTGATATGTGACAGTTATACGAACTATTCGAAGAAACTTCGCATTTCTCGAGGTGAAAAGGTTAGATTGTTAGCTAATGCGTTGAAAAACTTAACGTAATCTTCTGGTTTGGGTGTAAAAAAGAATTGCCCAAAAAATAAACAACAAACTACCAAAATAAACTAAAGTAACAATAAACTAAAGCCCTCCCCGACTACCAACAAGCACGACGCGCTACACCAATAATAGATCTTCCGAGATGAGGAGCTAACCCATCCTGAGCAAGTCTAGTTGTGGAACTAACCCTACCAGAGAGAATTCGGGTAATGGAGACCGAACAAATGTACCCCCCCC